GATCTTATTTAGTTTGGTAAGGGGGTGGGGCAATATGGTTGAATATTTTTCTGATTTTCCTCCAATGTGTAAAAGAAAACAACAACTCCCTTTTTTAAATTAAAATGTGATTGATCATTCTCTTGGATGACGCAATGTTAAATAAACAATGCTACAACATAGTACATCTGAAAGTTGACTGTATTTAAAATCTTAATCAGCCCTTGTGAAAAGAACTTCACGCCAAAAACAGCTAAAACCTTGGAAATTCTATTGTAATTATTTTATACTAAACTATCTAATATTAATATTTGCATTAATGAGAAAAATCTCCTCCAAAACCCTGATGGTACAGTAAGTTAGTAAGTCTCACTGTTGATATGCAGATGAAAAAAGAGTAAATTTGGGAAATGCCATCAGATTCCCAATGTGAAAGTACTGTGGGAGAGACAGACAGGATTACACACCCAATTAGTGAGCTAAATTGTCTGAAAGACCCCCCTTGTGGCTACTAGAAAGGATTAGATTCCTAGAACACCAAGGCGACGTGTAATTGGTTGAATATGGTGAATTTGAAATGGAAGCTAATTGATTTTCTGTCTGGGATCACGTTTATTGTTTCATTAGAATAACAAACACATTGAGATCCAAACAATAGAACACGAGTTCTGCAGACTAACTGTGGAGGATTAAAGAGATTTGTTATTGTATGCAGGTTCACCAAGGCTTTGCACTCCAGGGATGTATGATTGTCTTTTGAGTACCATATCCAGACAGCTACTACCTCAACTGCAGCAGATGCTTATTGAGGGAAATGACTACTACTACTTACTATTGCCTTGATGAGATCTTCCCAGCTACCTCAGGATTCAGGGTCATGCAAGGGCGTACTGTAGGTTTGCATATGGACAGTAGGGACTACCAATATTTGCAAGACAGAGCACTACACGCCACAAGCTGCAATCGGCTGTTTCTATGCGTCTTCCGCTGATGATTTGCCGCTCTGCTACTGCTACGTTCTTATGTGAGCGCTCTGATTAATAAATGTATTCTCTGCTTTTGAAACAGCCTTAGGGCTTGTGTCCATAACATGTTTTTCTCTCACCCCATTCAGTGCTTCATTCCCGCGCTCGCTAGCACCCTGCACCCACCTTAAAGGACAGAGGAAACATCACATTTTGGTTTCTGATATCCATTTTTAGACGTCTCTAATGGAGTTCAGGATTTATCAGGAGGACCACTGGTTTATTTTAGTTAATTGTTGTTCTCTCCGTACCAATGTTGAGACCAAACCTATCCCCTTTGGGCTACGATTATCTGGTTATTTTCACTGTTGTGCCAAAAACCACAGTACTATCATAAAGAAAAAAAGATGATGCCTGGATGTTAATCTTCTAGGTAATGTAACATGCTTTCAGTATAATGTGCACCTAATTTACTTTAACCTAAAGCTTAGTTTGTAGTTGTACTTTAAAGATTCTTTGTGCAGATTGGCTCTGCTGAACTGCTGAAAATGTCCAAGTGAGTTTGCTCATTTTCTTATTCTCATTATTCAGCAGTGCTTTGTCTCAGATGATTCATTAGGTTAATATGTTTATATTACACTTAAGATTGACTGCAGTAGAATTAGATTACCCAGGCACATATTTTCACATGAAAGTTTTTGTCTAATGCAGCTTTTACAGTTTTTGCACCTGTTGTATAATTACATTCAAGGTGGTTTATGATATTTTTTTGATACAGAAGTGCAGGAGTCTGGGCTCAGTGGGTGGAGCTGGTGACCCATATACCGAGGCTGAGTCTTTGCTGCAGCAGCCCAGGGTTTGAATCCGACCTGCGGCCCTTTGCTGCGTGTCATCCCCCCTCTCTCTCTGCCCCCCTTTCCTGTCTGTCTTCAGCTGTCCTATCAAATAAAGGCAATAAAAGCCCCAAAAAATACTTAAAAAAAAAGAAGTGCAGGAGTCATGACCTCCAGGCAGGGCATTACTTCTCCTCCCTTGCCTCCGTCCAGCCGTGTAATCCTGCAGCCGTGGTGTTGGTGTCAGTGCTGGGATCCGGTGTCACACAGACGGACACAATGGCCGCACTGTACTCCCCTCACAGCATTGTTCTCCCCTGAACTTGGAGGCACAATGAGGCCCTTATCCACACAGGACAGAGGGACCGGCAGGCTCTCTGTCAGGTGCTTTTCTTCCATGCTTGTTTCTGAGCTGAACCCATGAGGACAGTTTGTTTAAAATGACACAGTGATACTTTCTAAAGGATTGGCCCTCTCGGTCAGAGTTGACCATAATGTGAGGACAGCATAGATGCTAAAAATATTCATTTGCTGCTACATATTAACACTTGATGTTCTTAACCCGTATCGAACAGTAATTTACTTGCATTGAATAGTTTCCTTCATTCTGTTGCTGTGATGTTACAACAACCTGACAACCAGTAATGTTGTGGTGACTTGAGGTTTAGTATTGATGACCACTACAACACAGTATGTGTAATAATGGTGACATGCGTGAGGTTAACAGTAGAGTATGTTGTGCAAAAATAGATTCCTGCACTCTGCTTTTGGAGGATATTTATTGAATTATTACAGCAAACTTAAGTTTTGGTCCCTCTAGATATTTTCCAGAAAATATGTTCCCATGTTCTCATCATCTCTAACCAGCTCATACTGCACTCTGAAGGTTACTTTTACCTGCACCAAATTTTGGATGGTTATTTGCTGTGTGCCTCTCAAAGGTGATTTGGCTGAAATTTGATAATCGTATTAGAATTCAGTGAAGTTGGACACTTTTCATCGACAACCTTAGGCCTCCAGAATTTGCCAGGATTTTTCTTTTCCACGCTGACATTCAAAAAGTGTTTTCATTTCTTGTGTGTGTGTGTGTGTGTGTGTGTGTGTGTGTGTGTGTGTGTGTGTGTGTGTGTGTGTGTGTGTGTGTGTGTGTGTGTGTGTGTGTGTGTGTGTGTGTGTGTGTGTGTGTGTGTGTGTGTGTTATTATTTCTTCACAAGAGAAATACATGCTTAGTTTCTCTGCAGAATGAACACACAGTGCTCCCTCCCCTCTCTCACATCCACATTAAACATGTTAATCCCTGCTAACAGATTTCAGTTGGCCAACATTCAGGACAGCATTACTAACATTCAGACATTACAGACAGATCGACAGACGCACTAAAGCAGTGCATATTGACCCAGCTGGCAGGTTTTATGGGACATAGTATTGGGTCAGAGAGGGATGTTCACCGCACATCTGCTGCAAATGAAAATGAAATTGAACAAGTATATTCCTGTGATTTAGGATGGTCAGAATAACATTTGTATATCACACTTTTGTCTCTGACACAAGAAGCACAGGAAGCCAAATGTAGAGCTGCTGGAGATGTTTAGTAGTTACAGTACATCTAAAGGAGGTTCAGTTAATGTGTTTCTAAAGGCCGGGTGCCAAAAACTGCTAATGCATAGCTATAATTACTATGTGTGAACAAACTCTGTCTGCAGTTTACTGCTTAATGAGGCAGTTCCATGATTGTGCTAACCTATTCAGCAGCATGGCTAGAACGATTGTAATGTGATTCACAGGTTTGATACCCATGGCAACCATTGTACTTGCCAGCAGCTACAGAGTTCTTAACTCCCCTGTAAAAAGTAAAGGTGTGTGACCTTGTTTGTTGTTAAGACCTGTTTGTATTCAGATGAAGACTGAGCTTTTAAACTGTAGCACATATTTTGGTGTGGTTTTCTTATCAATAATCAATGATCATTGAGAATCCCTACCAAGTTTTCAAAAGATGTACCCCCTGTTGTTGTTTTTAAGGTTTTTATAAGCCATTTGTTGTATGTAGATAATAAATATTGTACTATTGCTGCACAGCTGTTTCTGTATATGTTTCCTTGAGAAGGTATTTTTTATGGCTATAAAATCAAGAGATGGCTTAACAAATGGTGCTCAACACAGAGTTCTGTAGTGTAAGAAGAAATAGGGATGTCCCGATCAGGTTTTTCTTTATATTGGGTGTCTGCAGATGTGCCTATCTGACATGTATCTGACACACTGAAATAATAGCTGTAGACTAATAAGGTGTGTAAATGATAATTAGCATTGGAGTTTAGCGAATCCAGACAATCAGATTTTCATTGACTTAATTTTAGACCATCAAATTCTTAAGATAACTTTTTGAAGGCTATCTGTAGTTCAATACTTCAACACTGAGGAGCAATTCAAATTGTCTCACACAAATTATCTTGGAGTTCACTCCAGTCCCCACAGGAGCATCAAACCTCAATGTGTTTTCTAGTGTTTCTATTTGTTTATTTCTTTACTGAGTGACTATAATGAACGTTTGATTATACTGTATATAGACAGAGTAAGAACAAAGGTTTCTGCTATGTTTTTATTTACTGATGTGAGTGTTTGTCACTATTCTTTTTTTATTTGATTAAACTATTATATATTAATTGCACATAATCATTGCAGAACTTTAATTCTCCTATTAACTCATATTGATTCTTTTTTTTTGGCTCAGTGGATTGGGGGGTGTTGGGAATTTTTTCTGCCTGTGCCAGCTGTGTGATGCCAACAATTTCAATTGTTTTAGGCTGTATTTTTCTTGCCCAGATTGAATCAACATAACATATTAACATAAGCTCTTGCAAATGAGTTATGGGACCCCACACAGGACAATTTGTTGTGTAGCAAAAGGGAAGATTAAATATTTAAAGTTATTGAGGAATTTGTTTCCCTTTTTATATATATTTCAAGTATCCTTCATAATGTTTGAAAGTATTTTCTTGCCAGGAACCTCCTTTTATTTTTATTATTATTATTATTATTAACACAAAAATATATTTTTTTATCACACGTTTATTTATATACATGATTATTTATGATAAAATAAATAAACTATACAGTAGAAGGTGTGGCAGATCTGTTGTACTCTATGGCATTTGATTTTATAGTAATAAAGTGGCCAGAGAATGTTCCTCCTCTCATCTCAGTTTTTTCTTCTGTTCGCTGTAGGATTCGTCCTCAGCTGGCCAGGGAGAAGATAGAGGGATGTCACATCTGCACATATGTGATGCCCGGGGAGCCTCAGGTGATCCTGGGGAAAGACAAGGCCTTCACCTACGACTACATGTTCGACATGGACTCCCAGCAGGACTCCATTTACACCTCCTCCATCGAGAAGCTGATCGAGGGCTGCTTGGAGGGCTACAACGCCACTGTTTTTGCATATGGACAGGCGAGTCTTTGTCCTCAGTATCACAGCTGCAGTGCTGATGGTGCTTAATAGCTGATGTAGGGAAATGGGCTCTGTGCATTTGTGTGTTTGAGGAAACGAATAGGAAGGGGGTGTTTGAGGGATGGAGAGTGATGACATTTGGGTAAAAGGAGACCAGAGGAGACTTCTGTTGTGGAATTTGAACCTCTGTAACCTTGTATTTGTCTGACCATAGTTTTAAAGGACTAGTTTGACAATTTGGGAAACACACTTATTCTCTTTCTTGCACAGTTAGATGAGAAGATCAATGCTTCCCTCATGTATGTACACTTTGTATGAAGCTATAGCAAGGAGGTGGTTAGCATAGCTTAAAGTCTAGAAACAGACTTTCATATATTTAGCCTCAAACCCCATTTTTATCTCAGAGGGCTTCACACTCTACACAGTGCTCTCAATCTTAAGACCCATGATTTGGATAAGAAAAAAACAGAGGCCTCAGGAAAAGCTGAGGGGGCGGGATTCATTTTTCAGGATGAATAAACATGCGTTGAGACTACACAAAATCCACAGTTGTAGAATTACAATAGAGCCGTGAATCCCAAACGGTGGTACTTGTACACCTTCAGCAGTTGTCAAGGGGTATGTGGAAAGTTTCTGGAGTATCTCTGCTAATGTTATTCCCCCTTCTCTTCCACTTCACCCTCCCCCTTTGTTTTCATCACCACATTCACCACATGGAAATAACATGCAAGTTTGGGCCTCATAACGCCCCTCCTCTCCTACACCTCCCCTAGTGCTTACGTTGCCGTGGTGACAGAACTTCTGCCGTGCGGCACTCACTCACAATTCAAAGTGAAGTCAAGTGCACACACACACACCTTTTAGACAGCTATACATCTTTAATGTGTGTCCATATTAACCCATATCTCCCCAGTAACTGCTTCTGCTGGCCTACTTCTGAAAGCACATTCACGCAGACTGCAGTTGGGTTGGCCTGGATCAGACCTGCTTGCCTCTGTGGCTTTACAGGGACTAACCTAGATTTAGACCGACCCACTCGGCTGCGTCACAAGAACTCTGCCTGTTGGGTTGCAGATACAGACAGTAAGGATGTGGAGAGTCAATTTTCTTTCTTTTAAAAGGAATTTGGTATCTGGAATGTATCATCTTACGCAAGAAAGTGCTTTTTTGATAGTGAATGGAAGTTGCATATTTTCAGTTTTTTCCTCTGATGACCTGCGGCTTCCCTGCCTGAACCTTCAGGGATTTACAGAGTTTATTTGTTTATTTGTCGCTATTAGCTAACTGGTAGCTGCTGCTAACGGGCATTTCCAGCAGTCCAAAGCTGTACTAGAGAAATGTCCCCAACACTGCCCCAGTGCTTAAAGAGATGGCAGGATGAACTGAGGGGCTGCTTGAAGGGCCAATATAAGACAAATGTTTCTGAAGAGTGAATCATGCAAAGCTATTTGGTGCATTTTCAGACTAAGAATATCACATTAAAATAGATGCACACATACATTTAGCAAGTAAATCATAACTGTAACAATAATAATTCTTTATTTGTGTTGGTCTGTTCAAAAGCTGATACACAAAGTCTACTTTACACAGCAGAAGCAAAATACTCTACATGGCCAAATGTATATGGACATAGTATCTTGTGCACTTTTTCATGGTTTGGGCTAAGACCCTTTGTTACAGGTGGGGGAAGTCTTAATGCTACAATATACAATGATATTTTACATTTTCTCCTACCATCCAGACGGGTTCAGGGAAGACCTACACCATGGGGACGGGCTTTGACGTGAACATATCCGATGAGGAGCTAGGTATCATCCCCCGTGCCGTTCACCACCTCTATAAGGGCATCGAGGAGCGCCGACAGGCCGCCCAGGAACAGGGACGCCCTGTACCTGAGTTTAAGATAAATGCCCAATTCCTTGAGGTACCCACCCGCCTTCACTGCCTCATAAATAATGTTTTCTTATTTTATCTGCTTCTTTAAGCTAAAAATGTTAAACTAAATAAAGCCAACAAAATATAATCTTTCTCTCACTACCATTAGGAGAGGCTTTACAGAGATGTCATGGGTCAGTCTTATATTGTTGACACTGCTCGTTTAACAAGCTTCGACACCAGCGCTCCATCATTTGAAAACATCCACACTGACAATTGAACTGCAGCAGCTGTCATCGGGGGGTTAGGAGCTGTTGGGGGGGATGGTGGTGTCTCAGTCTGGACAGAAAGAGTTAACAGGAATGGTGTGAGTCGACAGTTGTGCTGGGCCATCATACCGTGACAGTGTTTAAACTGCCAGAGAAGACCTGGAGCCAGAGAGGTGGATGAGTTGTGACTAAGAAATATGACATGAGTCCCCAACAGTTACTATTCATATTCCTTAAACTTTACCCTTTTTGCATGGTTCATATTTCCCCAGATTTTCTTGCCAGAACTAAAGTCTGGTTTTCATAATCTGGTCCTTATGGGTTTTAAAGGACAAAGAAATATAAGATGTCACTGCCTGTTTTGCTTTATTTAGCAGTCAGTGAGAAAACTGCTATTAATAGTGGATGATGATGATTGGCTGAGGCCAATAACTCCTAAATACTTCTGTCTGCTACTAATAAAATTATACCTAGGTCTGATATTTTTTCTAGCACTACTGTTCAATCAGTTCACTGTTGACTCTTACACTTAATGGGTAGATAAGTATTTTTAAAAAACATTTTAGTATGCAGATTAGCAAGGGCATAAACAAGGAGGAAACGTATCTCCCTCACATTTTATAATCCTAATTTTGGAGCCCTCACTCTTATAGCTTTAAAAACTGCATTAACAATACAGAAGTTTATGTAGCATGTATACTGGTCCTACATTTGAGTATTACAAAGGTCTGAAATGTTTTGAATTTGAAACCTTCAGATATTCTGTGAATTTAAAGTGATGTATCTATTTATGTATCTAATTGTGTTATTGTGGCTCCCTTTAGCTTTATAATGAGGAAGTTCTGGACCTGTTTGACTCCACACGAGACATGAAGCAGAAATCTCACATCAAGATCCATGAAGACGCCAATGGGGGAATCTACACAGTAGGAGTGACCACACGGACTGTGTCCTCTGAGGCTGAGGTAAAGGAGTGTGTGTCTGTGTGTTTTTAACAAACGTCTCACCCATTATAACTGCCATTGTTGATGCAGTAGAGTTTGAATATATTCTAGAGACTAGTGGTGTACATGTGCCTGATTACTGAACTAGGATGAGCCTTTGAGGAAGACTTTGTCGCTGTTCAAATAACAACAACGTTTTGTGTGGATCATTTTTCAGATATAGAAGGGCAAGCCATTCACTTAAATGATAAATATCAAATAATAATTGAAGCTCAAACATTCATCAGTCAACTTTGTTAGTGGATAGCTGGTTCTCAGACAGACAGCATTATATATTTATTTTTGTTTTCTTTCTTATTTTTCATTCTTGTTTAAGTGAATGGTTTTACCTAATTATTAAAAGCAGATTTGGATTCATTCTGAAATGTAATATTGAATAACTAAACATTTTTTATTTTATTAATTGATCTATAGTCTTGAACATGAACCTCATTGCCACCACAAGCCCTTTACACATACACTTTCATTCATTTATTATTCATGTATTATTAATTCCTGAACTGTTTAGGAATGCTAGAGTATTTTGTGTTTCAGTTCCCTCGCTGTATCAAAGTGAGTTCAACCAGTGTGTTATATTTAAAGTTCTTTCTCTGCCTGTTCAGATGATGCAGTGCCTGAAGCTGGGGGCTCTGTCTCGCACCACAGCCAGCACTCAGATGAACGTCCAGAGCTCTCGATCCCACGCCATCTTCACCATCCACCTGTGCCAAGTTCGCGTCTGTGCCTCTGACAATGTTCGTATAGTCTAATTTAAAAACTACATGGATACTACAAGCACAATGCTTTGTAACTTAACAGTGTTGGTTTTTTGTAATTGTCACACAGCAAGAAACTGAGACTGATAACAGAGTCTCCAACGGAAACTCTGAGATGGATGAGTACGAGACTCTGACAGCCAAGTTTCACTTTGTTGACCTGGCCGGTTCTGAGAGGCTGAAGAGAACTGGAGCGACTGGCGATCGAGCCAAAGAGGGCATCTCCATCAACTGTGGACTGGTGAGCTTCTCCCTCCTCTGCATCACTCCAGCACGATTGGTAAAGTCACTTAGTGGCACAGAGAAGCCAGAGCCACTGATATTCTATATACTGAGTTTGACTGCCATCTAGTGGCAGAATTTCATACATGTCCATCATGCACTCAGGACACATAGGTCATCAACCATGCAACAGAAACATACTGCACAGAAGGACAAACCTATAAACATTTTATAAAATACCTTTTTAATGTGATCTATTTTTACCAAACAAAATTCATTCATTCGAAACCAATGAATTTTAGATGTGTTGATTGCAGTAAGACTAAATTAAACTTCAGCTGCAGTGTCAGTTTTCTTTGTAATGAACACATGCTAAGTATTGTAGATCATTTGTTGGATTTTATTTGTCTCTATCCCTGCCATTTCAGGATTTGGTCTATTTACTTTTTGTATTTTGAGATGTAAATTCCACTGTATATTCCTCTCTGTTGCTGCAGCTTGCTCTGGGGAATGTAATCAGTGCTTTGGGTGACCGAGGCAAACGTGCCTCACATGTGCCTTACAGAGACTCCAAACTCACCCGACTTCTACAGGACTCATTAGGAGGAAACAGGTTGGTGGACAACTGATTTCACCTTTTTTTCTCAAGTACTGGGATCTGTAATTTTCCTGTTAGTAAACTTCTTGGACCCAGAGAACTCTTGGTGGTCAGAGGTTTCAAATACTTTTTTATAAAGGAACATGAAAAGGATCTTAAATATAAAGTTTAAAATGTTTAGTAGTCATTAGTATTGTATCAAAATCAGAATATTAAGTTTCACAGTGCAATAGTACTTTTCTGGAGCAGTCAATTTTGTAATTGAACCAAACGCTAATAAATATCTGACTTCATCTTGTCTCAGCCAAACAGTGATGATTGCGTGCATTAGCCCATCTGACCGTGACTTCATGGAGACGCTGAACACATTAAAGTATGCCAACCGAGCCCGGAACATCAAGAACAAGGTGATGGTGAACCAGGACAAGGCCAGCCAGCAGATCAGCGCTCTGAGGACGGAGATAGCTCGACTGCAGATGGAGTTAATGGAGTACAAGACAGTAAGATGAGAGGAGTTCAAGGGGCAGGGGGTGCATTGAAAATATGTTATAAAAAGATTAACCAGGGAATATTTCATGTCAAATGGTAACAAGGTGTCCTCTGTATTGCCTCCTCCTCCTCCTCCCCCCCTGCAGGGTAAACGCATGGCAGGTGAAGACGGTGTGGAGAGCTTCAGCGACATGTTCCACGAGAACTCCATGCTGCAGACAGAGAACAGCAACCTAAGGGTGAGAGTTAAGGCTATGCAAGAGACCATCGATGCCCAGAGGGCACGGCTCACCCAGCTGCTCAGTGACCAGGCCAACCAGGCCCTCAGCAGGGCAGGTAGGTTGAAGCTTGCAGACTCAAAAAGTATTTTGTGTATTGGCAAATTTATAATAATTGTCATTGCAAAGTCACAATGAAAACCCATTTTTCTTTCCCTCTTTCTCATCTAAAATTGTCTTGATTCTCTTCTAGGTGAAGGTGGAACTGAAGAAATTGGAAACATGATTCAGAGTTACATCAAAGAGATTGAAGACCTCAGGTAAACAACTCTGACTGTAGATTATGTGAAAGCTCACTGTGCCCCAAGAGTAAGACTTTCTAAAAATGTTAACAGAAAATAATACAATACAGTCAAACTGTGACTATTGAATATTACTGCAAAATATTTTTCCAAAGATTTAATACTTTATTGTTAGACCAGCATGAATTTTCTGTGCAGTGTGCAACATGTTACAGCTTTGCTACATTTCTGGTGTGAATGCACTGTATACTAAAAGCCTTAGATGAAGTATGTTGTATGGAACTGGAACACAATCCCTTGTTAAGATACAGATATACAGTACTAAACCCTTTATCAAGGGCTTCACCTTTCAAATTACTCTTAAGTGTATGATGACTTGTGAGTGAATATAAAAGATGAGTTCAATTTTAAATGGTTCCTAAACATTGATATCACCTGCACTGATTACTAAATCAGTGGGTATGGGACCAGAGTAACATTTTCAACTGTGCTGACAGCCCTTTAGCCTATCAGCACAAGACGCATCATACTTTAGTTTCTGGTTTAGAGTACTGCTGGAATTTAACAGTCAGAAATATTTACCTCGGTGAGAGACATGAAAAGGTGCAAGAGTGAAGGGAGTCAGTTGTGGAATATGCTTTGGGGTTCCTTTTTAAAATTTTGCACCACATAATACCACAAAAAGTTACAAATGAAGATAAATTTTCAAACTCCTCCTTCCTCCTGTCTGTGCCCCTTTATTTCACCTTCAGAGCCAAACTCCTGGAGAGCGAGGCTGTAAATGAGCACTTGAGGAAGAATCTGTCTCGCGCCTCCAATCGTCAGTCATTCTATGGAGGGCCCGGCTCCTTCTCCTCCACGACACTGGCCCCTGAGAAGGAGACTTCTGACATCATTGAACTCGCCAAAAAAGACCTGGAGAAACTGAAGAAACGAGAAAAAAAGAAAAAGAAAAGGTAATAAAACTGTCGTAGACATAGTGTCATTGGTCACTTGGTGTTGTTGCAGGTTCGCATACATTTCAAACTGGAATGGCACATATTTTGTGATTTTGTCCTCATTTTCAAAAGAAGGCATATCACTGAATGCTTCACCCAGAAGTCAGTTTGACTTGTTTACATTTTAATAAGAAATATGGCAACAGTTCAACAGCTTGGAACATGCATATTTAAAGGTCTGTGGATCTTTAGTCATGATTTTTAAACTTGGGATACTTGGGCTAAATTATGCTTAAATGATTTATGTGCATTTTTATTTACTTCAGTTATAGACATGAAACAATTAATAACATGCAAGGAGGAATTCCTGATGGGAAATCTTCAGCAGCACTGGAGACTGATCAGAGGCTCCAGGTTGAAAATGATCAGAGTTGTGCTGTGGGGCACTTTAGTGGGGATAAAAGGTGGGATTTTCAGTGCAGAGCTTTCTCTGACCATTCTTCCCTCCATTCTTCCTTCCTTCGTTCATCTCTTGCTTCCTTCTCTCGTTTGACCCTTCACCCCTCCCTGAAGACTCCAGCAGCTGTTGGAGGAGAGAGAGAGGGAGGAAAGGGAGGAGGTGGTGGAAGAGGTTGAGGACGCCAGGTTTGTCAGAGCTTCCACCCTCCTGTTGCCATTCCCTTCCTTTGCTTCCCCTAATTCAGCATATTATTTTAGTTTTTATTTATTTTGGGCAGGTATTCCCCCAGCTGGAGTGAGACTTGCTATAATAGAAGCACTTCCCTCCATAAACCAAGCCTTTATCTCTCTTTTGGTCTTCTGTGTGAACCCCTTAGCTCATTCATTGACAAATCACGCTACATCCTTGCTTTCTGTTGCATCTTTTTATGTTTTTATGTGTATTATTATGAGAGATTTTCAAGGTCAAGGCTCATAACACTTTAGTTTGTGCTTTTATTAAAACATTCATCCATTCAGATTATCAGTGTTGAAGGTTTGAAACTTCCTAAAATGTGTTTTGAATGTGCCTTAAGGTTGATTGCACAGAAGGAATATGTATCTTCTTTCATTTATGACAGACTGTTATTCAGCCTTAACTGTATTTAAACAATGGTTTTAAATTCCTCTTCTTGCTTTCCTGTGTTAATCTTTCTTTTTGTTTTGGTCACTTTATGAAGATGCAAACACCACCTAAACACTGCTAACCCTCTGTGTTTGGATAAAATATTTATCCAACAGATCTGCTTCATGGACTTCACAAATTAATTTTGTTTTGCTCTGCATATTCCTTCCATGTTTTATTTTTTGTTTTTTTGGCTTTTCCTGGTTTTGTTCAGACTCTGATGAGATGCCTCTGTTCCTTTGTTAAAAAATATGCTGTCTTTTCCACAAACAAGCTCATTAAACGGAGCAGCGTCATCTGTGTTCAGCTTTATAGTTCCACCTGTCACGAGATATCACTTAAGGCTCCCTGTGTATGTTTTATGTGTTTACAAACATATCACAGTGAATTAAGTCCTTAACATTTATCAGCTTTGTTGCTACACAGTGGCAAAGTCTGTCAAAAAGCTTGTTTGCCAAAAAGAAAGTACATTATTTAATTTACTAAACTTAAGCTGTGCCAACTAAAAAAAATTAAACATTGTCTTTACAATGCACAGACATTTAGTTAGACATATCTTTCTTGTTTACATGCCTCTTACAGTACCTGTGGAGGTGTACCATGTGCACCATGTGTTCTGCTCAGTAAACATGATAAATGATGTGTTTGATTCTTAACTCTATCTCAATCTTTCAGTGCCAACAAAGAGGAAGTTCCTGACAACGAGCAAGAAAAGGGCACAGAGAAGGAAATGACTGAGCGAGTCAATGAGGACGCAGAAATGGTACGATTGAAAGCCTCTTGTTTTATCTTTAAATTGAATCTGCATTGAAATATATTAATAATATTATATTATTCAAATTACATTATCTTGTAGGATGTCCAGGAAGGCAGTGATCATGAGGAAGGAGAAGAGGAGGAGGAGGAGGATGAAGAGGAGATGGATGTGGAGGAGAGCTCAGATGATTCTGACTCAGAGTCTGATGAAAAAGGTGAGGGACAGTGTCCGGTCCCTCTCACCCATTCACCTTAACAGGATGCCGATTCTCCACAAGGGGGAGCTGCTCAATCATTGACAGTCCAGTTTTAAACAAATCCACCAGCACCACATAAACTCTTATTTTGGGACTTTTCGCGCCTACATTTAGAGCTGACCACGAGTGATCATTTCACCCAAGATACATTAAAGATACAAGACTGCTAAATGCTAAATAAGGAGCTATGACTGTGGCTGTTCACTGACAATTTAGGCACATGAGCCATCAGGACACTTGTCTTCTTTTTGTAACATTTATACTCTAAAATGTAAAATCCTATAAAATGACTATCACTGTGGCTGTGAATACTGATTCTGATCATGTGTGTTCAACAGAGAACTTTCAGGCCGATCTGGCCAACATCACCTGTGAGATCGCCATCAAGCAGAAGCTGATTGACGAGCTGGAGAACAGCCAGCGGCGTCTGCACACACTCAAACAGCAGTACGAGCAGAAGCTGATGATGCTGCAGTGCAAAATCAAGGACACCCAGCTGGAGAGGGACCGTGTCCTCCAAAATATGAGTAAGACAAGGACACCAGACAGGGGAGTCATGTATCACTCAGTTGAAAGAGTACTGCATTGTACTAAAACACTGTGCATCGTTTATCCACTCATGGTCAGGCAGTGTGGATGAAACTGTGGGTTTGGCTTTAAATGTCAGTGCTTTTGATGTGTTTATTTCAGTCTTAAAGAAGAGTATATTTTAGTCCTTGCTTGTATTTGTAAGAATTTATTTCTTACCCCACACATTTGATCTCAGTTTTTGTTTTTTAGTAAAGAGAGCACTGCAGACTGATGTACTTCAGAGAGTCCTTTAAAGTCAGCAGTGAATGCTGTCTGCCAGCAGCCTGACCATTTATGTTTATCAGCACTAATTGATCAAAGCATTCTCTGATGCAAATTAGATTTTTTAGCTTTCTGACAACTGAAGACCAAGTGTTCTGACTGTATAAACCATTAGATGAAAATGTATTTGTATTTGCAACGCAGTTTGGGCGCTACATATGGAACTCTTCCAAGTAAAAGCAATTGTGTTTTGTACCATATACATTTTTTTAAGCCATTGTTGCATTCATTTCATTTTATGGATGGATATGATCAGTTTTCCATACATTTTTTGTCTTTCAGCTTCGGTAGAAAGCGGCACAGAGGACAAGGCTCGTAAAATCAAGGCTGAATATGAGAAGAAGCTGAGCGTCATGAACAAGGAGCTGCAGAAGCTCCACTCGGCTCAGAAGGAGCACGCCCGCCTGCTGAAGAACCAATCACAGTACGAGAGACAACTGAAGAAGCTCCAGATGGATGTGGCAGAAATGAAGAAGACGAAAGTATGATTGTTTACAGTAGTTGTCTGTGATAATATGTACGATAATACTGGTGGACATTTGAGGTCTCTCTCTGACTGCTTTGGCTGTTTTTGATAAGTGTTTTTACCTGTGTTACCTGCTGCGTATTTTGTTAAGTGTGAGTTAAGTGTATTTGGAAGGATTTACTTCCATTGGGACTAATATAAAATTGACCAAAGACTGTTGACATAGCACCTATGCTAGCAGCATAGCATTGACAGTAGTCAACACACAGCATTTCAAAGGATGCAGATAAAGTGGCAGGGTTCAAGAAATGCTCCACTAAGCAATATATAATATATTCATAATATTTCACAAATCTTATGAGAACTTTCACAACTCAATTGTGGGGGGTTTGAAGCTCATCGAATGCCTTCCTTAACTCGTGTACATTCACTTGAGAAGGAAAAAAATTAAAGGGTAAAGGAAGTGAAGGGGAAAAAAGGATTAAACAGATTATTTTTATTTTTTATCTTCTTACAGGAGTACTCAACTAAATAAAATCCAACAAAGCCTTACTTCTCTTAAATAGACATTGACATTCTTTCACAGTGTTCCTTTTACAGAATATCATGCTAGAGTCAACATGAATTAAATCAAATGTTTTATAAGCTGACATTTTTATCAATTAACTTATTAAATTAAATCACTTATTTATCTCCCACACAAATATTGACATATGTTCTTGATATTTGTTGATATAATATAAATATGTTTGATTTAATTGTTCCAGGTCCGTCTCATGAAGCAGATGAAGGAGCAGCAGGAGAAAAACAGAATGAACGAGTCTCGCAGAAACAGAGAAATTGCTTCCTTAAAGAAAGACCAGCGCAAGCAAGAGGTTAGTGCTCTTCAGTGCTATAATTACATCTTAATTGGGCTGTACCATGAGTTCCTATGTCATCATTTAACTGTTGTGTTTCAGCACCAGCTGAAGTTACTGGAGGCTCAAAAAAGGCAACAGGAGCTTATTCTGAGAAGAAAGACAGAGGAGGTGAGCAGCAGCAGAAAAGAATGTTTGTACTGAGAGAATGGATTGTACCAATACATAATATATGCTGAAATGCATTTGGTGTGCTTTTAGAGTTTACTTTTTTGTTTGCCGTGTGTGTCAGGTGACTGCTCTGAGGAGGCAAGCCAGGCCAACCTCAGGTAAGGTCATCAGGAAGGTCAATCTCCCAGAACCAGTCCAGGACTCTCCCCACAGACCTCCATCTGGACGCATGTACTCCTCCGGCAACGCTGCTCCCAATGGCACTCGGTGAGTCTATGTGTGTACAGCTGTGTTCAGTGCACATTCATGTTTCCAGAGTGGCAAGAAGGAAAGGCTACTAAAAATAGGTATATAGATTGAGATGTGGTATATGTTATGTTATGCTGACTATTATATACATTTTCTTAAAACCAAAATAGGCTATTAAAATACTGCACGTGGTGTGTTCATGTTCGCAAGGAAGACACCTGCACTCTCATAAGTCAAACTCTGGAAAGGCAACATAAATCTCAGTTTGCACATGGCTGTTTTGCCATTATTACGTTGTATTTCAGTACATAGTTCTGCACCAGGAATCTGTTGACCAGCTCTGGAACATGTTCATGAGCTAATTTACATCATCCCTGAATGTGCTTAAAGGTGTTAAATCCTCTGATGAATCAATCAGTCACATTATTGACATTATACATTATAATGTGTGTGAAGGTTTTCCTACAGGCGTACAGTCGGCGTTTACTCCACCAGAGTTGCACGCAATAAATGGCAGTCTCTGGAGCGCCGGATCTCTGATGTCATCATGCAGAGGATGACCATCTCCAACATGGAGGCAGACATGAACCGCCTCCTTAAGGTAAAGCTACAGCAGCACGTTGCTGTTGTATTTATGTTACTGTAATATTAATTACAGAAATAAAGAAGGATAATGACCAGAATGTTATTAGCTTGAGAGCAGCAGGAAATACCTATGAACAAAGGGTTAGAAAGGGTTAAACTTCTGCCACCCTCAACATCAATACTGTCAAGTGACCAGTCTGAGAGTGTAAGAAATGTGACTCTACTGTATACATGACATACTGTATAAAGTGTAAATACAACCACAATATACTTTTAGAATAGTAATACACGAAACAGACATATTCATATTAGGTATTCTGCTGTTTATGTTTGATTAGTTTGTTTCTGTACAGTCAAATGCCCAAATAGTAGTATATTACGTATATTCAGTTGCCAGTAATTGTCCATTCATTTCTCTGCTGAATCAAAATGGTCTGACATGAGAGTCTAATAGATTAAATTCAATTAAATTCAATTTTATTTGTATAGCGCCAATTCAAAGAGCGCCAAATAACAGAAGTTAACTCAGGACAGTTTTCAAATGGAATTAATAGATTAATAGATGTCTGTCTGTGATATTTCCAGCCTATGAAGCCAGTCAGGGGTGGTTTTGAGGCTTGTTTTGGGACAAATGGTGTCTTTAAGGTTTTAATTACTGCTATGTCATCTTGTTGTTGCACAATTCATTATCATCAGTGGGCAACAAAACATACACATATAGAAATAACTTGATGGAATGAAATCTGTTAAGTCAGCGTGTTTGTACCTCCATAGCAACGAGAGGAGCTGACCAAGCGTAAAGAGAAGGTCATCAGGAAGAGGGACCGGTTGGTCAGGGAGGGGCCAGAGGCAGAGAAGGCAGTGCTTCCTCTTAATGAAGAAGTGGATGCATTGACGGCCAACATTGACTACATCAATGACAGCATCGCAGACTGTCAGGCCAACATCATGCAGATGGAGGAAACCAAGGTGAGAAGGCCTAAAAATATATTTTGGTTTACTGGCTGGTTAAAAAAATGGATTCAGTAAAATAGATGGAAAATGTCAATGAGCCTTATCTTATTACGCTTTTGAACTTTAAACAGCTGGAGTTTCTAATCGAGCAAGGTTTTATGTGACGTCTTCTTAGCAGATAGTCACTGAGAGATGTAGAGTTTCAGAGAATTTAGTTTCTCACAAAAATCCTTTTAGCTGTATGCATTCACACTGTTTTTTTTTCCAGGAGGAAGGCGACACAGTGGACGTCTCTGCTATAGTTGGTTCATGCACCCTGACAGAAGCTCGTTTTCTGTTGGATCACTTCATGTCAATGGCTATCAACAAGGTACCAGGCATAATAACTGTCTGTGCTTATGGCTGTTTTTCAACTTGAAATAAGAATAAGAAGGCCAATGATTCTTAGGTACATATCAACACCTCTCTTCCCCAAATCAGCCAATTTTACTTCTGAACAGCAACCTGGTCAGGGACTGTAGTAAATTGTCATTCAGTTAAATCTATCACATTTACATTATAAGGACACCCCTTAGTATACCTGGTTCCTGATACATTGTCTAGTCTTGCTACATTTGCCAATAAAATATTTTTTTAGATCATAAAGAAGAAATTAAAGTGTGGGTTTTTTTTGTACCATTGCTATTGCTTTTATTTAAGATACAGTACATACATATACAAAGATATGTAGTTACACATGCAGTTATTTTACCATATGGCAAGATGTGGGTGTGAATTTGGGAGTGAATAACACTATAAACATTGTGTAATGACTGCGATCTGACCTACTTAGGGTCTCCAGGCAGCCCAGAGGGAGTCTCAAGTGAAGGTGATGGAGGGCAGGCTGAAGCAGACAGAAATCACCAGCGCCACACAGAACCAGCTGCTCTTTCACATGCTGAAGGAGAAGGCCGAGTTCAACCCGGAGCTGGATGCGCTGCTGGGGAACGCACTGCAAGGTAACAACAGCATTTATTGGGGTTGAGATAGAAGTGGAGATGAGGACCCAAAACACGGACCAGGCCCCTAGTTTAACCCAGCCCACCTCCTGGAAGTATCATTAATATCACAACAACTAGATGATGATGGTGATGCTTTTCTTACAAGAGTCAGTTCTGTTTAAAAATGTAAAATTTGCCATTAAATATGTCTTTCCACCCATCTGTTGCGTAGCATTTGGCTTTTCAAGAAGTGGGCTGGGTAGCTGATCAGTTGCATGATTGGTCCTATTGACATGCTCTTGCCTGTTGCCTTCTGCTGAATAGAAGCTGGCCTAATTATTATACAACAGATACTAAATTCCACTGTTAAAATCTGATACAAAGATCATATTCCTAAAATACAAATTCCTAAAAAAAAATTGTTTTATTGGTTGCAGAGTTTAAAACAACATATCTATAACGTTTTGTATTGTAAATTTATTTTTACCAGCCTCTGTTCAGCAGGATGCTCTATTTACAGTAGCTGCACTTTATTTTCTTTTGTTTCTTTTTTTAGAATTTCGGGGGACTGTGTTTTTGATTTGTGCATTGCCTTTTTTCTGTTCCCCCACGTTTTCTTTTTTGTTTTCTTATGTTTTTACAGAGCTAGGTAACATCCCTGCTGGTAAGTGAAACCATATTAGACTCTTATCTGTGTTATAAATGCATGGTTCCTTCCCTTTGCACTTTGACAACTAACGAAACATAAAATGAACAGGTGCATGAGGTGCAATGCAACCAGGCTTCCCTCCATCTGTCTGCTGACCTCTCCCTTCCCCTCATCTGGATACACTCTACCTCCTCCTCCTCCTAGCTCACCATGTGCTACAGCCTCCATGCTTTAGCACCCTGCTAACCCCAGACCTTTCCACAGGAACCATACAACATGGATACATTAGCTCTGTCCGACCCTGTAGGTCAGCTGACACCAACGGGAGCACTGGACTAATGCTTCCTCAAACTCCTCCACCTTGTTGTCTAATATCAGGTCTTTTACCTTTGCCCCAACTTGCCCACACATCTTTCTTTATAACACTCCCCAAGCTGACTGCTCTCTGACCTCTCCCCTTTTTCGATCCATCCGATCCCATTGAGCTCCGTGAGGACCAAGTTTCTGTTTGTCAACAAAACAGCATGGCGCTGCGCTGACATTGTCCTCATCTGCTTCACTTGTTCATCTTTTCTATCCATTTTGCGCAGCCATTTAAAAAAAAAGTAAGGAACATTGCTTCACCCTATAGTGAAAGTGAGCAAAAAGATAAATTATGCAAGGTGTACTTGCTAAGAACCTTTTTATAAAGTCAAAAGCAATCATCTCAGTCTTATCAGCCAAGTCGTTTTTCTCTCAGCTCTAATATTATTCATTTATGTCATTTGGCAGAAAATGGGGACGATAGCAGCAGTGATGAGTCTGCCCAGAGCCCTTCTGCAGAGGGAAAGTAAGTTTATGCTATGTTGCTGTTGTTTTATGTACTTAAGCGTGTTTTTACAAACGGCTATATGTGTCTTAATACTTGCAAATAAAACTTTTGTATTTGCTCCAGCACCTTGGCATCAGATCTCATAAAACTCTGTGGAGAAACCAAAACCAGAAATAAGGTATTATATGTCTATTATTTTTATGCCTCATTCTTAGCATACACTGTTATTTCCCCAATTACTTCCTGTTTTAATTTTTACTTATCTGTGCTGTACAGGCTCGTAGAAGGACCACCACTCAGATGGAGCTGCTATATGCCAACAGTGACTCCGCCCCTGATGCACCCACTGCAGACTTCTCCAGTCCGATGCTGCCGTTGGCTGAAACACCGGATGGGGGAGGAGACATGGACTCGTCAGGCTCATCAGTCAGGGACTACACAGCTCTCTCCCCCGGCTTTTCCTCTAAAATGGGCAGCATGTAAGTCCAGGCCCAGCACTCTTTTGCTAACACAATAATTACTACTTCCTTCCTGCATGTTTGATGTTGCTGCGACATCCTCTGCTGTATTTGATTTTGTTTCACATTATTCATGAGCATCCTTACATCAAATGGCCATACCGTCTGCCAACTGATGAGTCCTTTGAAGTAAAAGCATGTAGAGAGGAGCCGCTATTAACATTTGTATGGCTTATTTATTACTGCCCCCTGCAAAAAGTGCCTTTCTAATTCCCAATTACAGCTTAGTCACACACTGAAAGCAAAAATACTAACCAGACCGCTTTACCTGGCTTGTGAAAGGCCATGCTTCAAACCTACTGTAAGTGCACATTGATTTGTATGTAGTAAAAAAGAGCCTCTTGACTCACGGTGATCCATCAGCAAATAAAGTAATAGAATTATATTTTAGTGTAGCACCAAATCTACAGAGTGTCCTCAGTAGTTACATATGAGCTTGGAGAAGAACCACCACTGTTTTGGGACTTTAAATATCAGGTAACTGTGTTTCTGTGTGTACTGCATGTTCATCTCTTCATAGTTGCCATTATTTTATGTTGGTTTCACATCCTTCTGTTGTTTTATTGTTCTTCTTTGTGTTGTTTTTGGATAACTATGAAACTGAATGATCAGTTCTGGCTCCAGAACTTCGTCAGGGGTGGAAAAGCGAGCTCCGGAGCCTTCCCCGCTCTCTCGCAGGAAGACCTATGACAAGGCACAAGCAGCGGCCGACAGGGCAAAGGTCAAGGAGATTAAACAGTAAGAGCTTGTTGCCGACATTGTGGCTGCAAAGCCGAAAAAAGCGAAATAACTTTACTTCAACTCCACTAATACTCTTCCTCTCGGTTTCGTGCTCTGAAGAAGCATGTGGTCTCAACTTAATCAAAAATGCTCTGTGCCTGGTGTTTGACCTGCCAAGTTCTATGCTGAATTTAAAGTTATTTTGTTCCGACCTAACTTGGATATTATTGCTCTTAATTGAGTCATAGTGGAGGTGTTTCCTTATTCACTCAAATTCAGTGTTCAACTTGATAATCAGTCTCTCTTCTGCTGATCTACTGATACACATTTTATGTACTGAGGAAATCACAGTCCTGTCTCTTTCTTTGTCTTGTCAGTTAGAGTGAGATGGAGCCAACTTGTATTTACATGCTTAAAAAACTTTGTAGTGCCTGTCATCCTGCCTCAAAATATATAGTACTAGAATTCAGGATCAAATGTTGATGTTAATGATAATATTGAAACTTCAATGAGTTTTAATATTTTTAAACTTTTTGTGGGAATGAAAAGTGCACACATTTACCTCTGTGACTTTACATTCACATGGCGCTTCAAAACCTTTGAGTATGAGTGAGCTTTTCCATCTCGGTTTTGAGAAATGAATTATTTTTATTACATGGTGTTTTGTGATTGCACTGATACAGTGGATTAAACCTAAATCCTTTTGTAAGGATTGTTTTTTTGTTTTGAATGTTAACCATTATGGATAGCAGATAGTAGAGACAGATAGAAATGATGAGGAAAGAGGAGGAAATAACAATTGAACCAGGGATGTGTGGTGTGTGTTTTGACCACTTAGCTACCAGGACACCCCCTTAAAGGAACCCTTTAGGCTACAACATAGCATTTACTGTTCCACCACCCTCAGGCTAGATGTGACATTTTTTAAGGATAAAAATCGAAGTAGTGTTTTCATTTTTCCAACATCCAACAGTGTTTGTTTCTGTTGGGTTCTCATTATAGTCTCACGCTAGCTTGGCTTACGTTAGCTGCTGAAAGAAGATACTTATAAGGTGCATTATGTTACTATTACTTTTCTTGATATTGTTTCATATGAAAAATCTAACCAAATCCGAAACAAATGCTGTAGCTTGACAACATTAAAGGGGGTCAGGATAGAGGGTGTTGTATGTTGGACAGGTTGTAAAGCCCCAGACTGATAATTGCACAGAACACCTCAGTAATGTCTTCATCATGTCTTCAGATGATTCTGAAACACTTTCCCGTCAAGCTGTCCTGACAGTTGCTCCTGTATGACGTGAACGCAGCATATGCGTCTCCCTTCTGTCCTCATGCAGTCCTCCCACACTCCTGCCAGTAGTGTGTAAACAGCTTAGCACACGCATTAATTATGCTGCAGCTTAATTGGCAGCCCTACTGTCTTCCTTCCCCGCCCTGTCATCAGGAGCCTGAAAAGCAGCACACCACTTCCTCTCTCCCCTACTGCTCGTCCCAGTAACCACATCGACGTGTTTAGCCGCATGACAGGGTATCTGGGGCGTACTGCAAACATCCTGCAGGATGAGTAAGAACCAGAGATAAGTAAAATTGACACAAGCCTGCCAGAGAGTCAGATTAGAGTTGAGGAGAGATGTTAAGGATGAGTGGGAACATTGCACCCCAAAATCTGTAATTTTGCCAAATGCTAGCCAATGCCTCATTTCCTAAATTACAGTAGATAGCTCCTGTTACTTAGGCATAGATCTGTAGAAGTACATACATTGATTTTGGAGTGTAATGTTGCAGTGTTATAATAAAATCAGTAGCTTTCTCAAGGTAGTAGTATTGCTAGTATTGTTATCATTTTGTTTTTTTCTAGTCTAAGTCATTTAAGTTTAGAAATCTTGCACAGAATGTCAGTACAAAGTGGCATTCTGGACCAGACTAGTGGTATAGCTTGGTATTGGTATTGTGTGGCCCTTTTATGCACATTATTTATGGTCATTTTGTTGGACTAAAGATTTGTTTTCCACCTTTGCCAGCGGCAGTAAATCAACAGTAAATGTTTTTTTTGTTTTTGTTTTTTTTTTCAATTCAATTTGCCTAGTATAGTGCCAATTCATAAAAAAGTTATCTCAGGACACGTTTTCAAGTAGCGCAGGTCTAGATTGTCTAGTTGTCCACTTATTGTATTCTCTCTGGATTTGATTTCCTGATAACACACCAGCTAATAATAAACACAGTTTATAGTACAGTTCATAAACTAGTACATAGTTTACTACCTGGTAGTACATTGAGATTTCGGACACTAATCATTTTGCACCATCACCATGTTTCTATAGTAGTCCACAAACCAAACAGCAGCTCTAGATAAGGGCATTCCCGTTTTTTGTGCCACCTTAGTTTCTCCTTTGTGCTTGGAAGGTGTGGTTGAAACACCAGAGTTGCTGCTAACTAAACTGGTACATGCTACTAAATCCTACACACTGGTCCTTTTAAAGCATTGCATTGTGGGATTTTTGGCAAAAAGTAGTGTGCCATGGACACCATTTTCATATATAGTGCATGCACCAATCAGCCATAACATTATGACCACACTGGTGGCCCATGACCCTGTCACCGGTTCACCGCTTTTCCTTCCTTGGAGCACTTTTAATAGGTACTGACCACTGCAGACCGGGAACACCCCACAAGGGCTGCAGGTTTGGAGATGCTCTGATCCAGTCGTCTTGCCAACACAATTTGGCCCTTGTCAAAGTCGCTCAAATTCTCACGCTGCCCATTTTTTCCTGCTTCTAACATCAACTGGAGGACAAAATGTTAACTTGCTGTCTAATATATCCCACCCACTGATTCACTTCACCAGTCAGTCATAATGTTATGGCTGATCGGTGTATATTGTAAAGTGAAATTAAATTCAGACACTCAAATAAAAGAGAACAAAACAAAGAAGATTTTGACAAAAAAAGGTTAAATTGTACCCAATAATGATGATCAAGAAAAAATAAGAAACTTGATAAGAATAGGAAGTAAATTGTGTAATAGCAGCTTATCAGATCTCAGGAATATCAGATACTCTGTTCCCCTACAGGATGGATAGATGCCTCCACCTGTCCTCCCCCCGCTTCCTTCGCTCTGTTTCTCCTTCTCTCTCCGTTCCAGCCAAGTACAACTTTTTTGTTTTTTATTTGCCATATGGTTCACTAAAATATCACCTTTGGTGTACAGGGCAAAGGTGACTCTGAAACAGACACACATGGTGTGGACACCTTTTTCTCATCATGACTTACACTGTTTGCGTAGACAAGACTTTGAGTGTGTTTGTAGTGTAACCTGCCGCGAGTTTCATCACCCACTAATGTGGTGTCCTTGCACAAAAACACTTGATTAACCAGACATGAATGGTTAATGCGGTTAAACAATGAATGGATATCTTGTCTGGAATCAATAAATAATTACAATAAAACCAACAGTGTCATCTCTTTAAGCCTATTACTTCCATTGAGCCTGAAACCCTCGATAATGCTCTTTTCATTAGCCTTTTTTCACTTCACTGAGCCTTTATTCGGCACAGAACAGGCCTTTTTAAAGTTCATTCATTCCCAACTCCTGAATATCGACGTCTGGATCCGTGGTACACCATGAGCTCATCCGGCTGCTCCACTGATACTGATAGCTACAACCGTTAGAGAGTAGTGATTGTACAATTACACTATCAGATGCCAATTTGTCAGCACAACCAGCCAATTAGTGATCGATCTGGATTTCTGTGATCCTATTGGACTTGTGGTCCCTGATGATGTGGCACCGCTGGTTTCCAATGATCATCTGTCTTTGTCTCCATCTTTGTTTTTATGTACAGTATTATGGGCTGGAGGAGCTCCTGAAGGTGCAGGGATGTTTTTGGATTCTAGGCTTTTCTTTTCTTCAGCACAGTAATGGTGACTCTGTTCACAGCTGTCTCCTCATTTTTCTTTGGACTGTTACTGTCATCTCTTTCTATTTTTAGTTTGCAGCATCCTGCTAATCAGCCACAAGAGCTGCATGCTCTGCATGACTCTGGTTGTGTGGATATGATTTAGATATGTGCTGTTCTTATAAGACAGCGTTATGTCCATTCTGCACTTATTGATAATGATATGCGTGTTTTACAGGGGCATCATTAACCCGGTGCCAGCCACAAAGAGCAGTCGGTCATCAACATTACAGTGCGTCCACGTGGCAGAGGGACACAGTAAAGCTGTTCTCTGTGTCGACTCCACTGATGACCTTCTCTTCACTGGATCCAAAGGTTAATACCACCAGTCCCCCACCCTCTTTTCACATCTTTACTCTAATTTGTCTCTTACAGCCACAAAAAACACACATAATGGCTCAACCATTTGTGGTCAGCTACATATAAAGAGAACAAATTACCTGATAACTAGTTTTAAAGCAAAAGGATTACATTTTACAGACTTGTCCAGCCACCCATAGGACCCAGAGCCTCCTCATCTAAACTCGAAAACATTGTAACTAAACTAAGAAACAAAGAACTGAAAACCTGACCTCCATCCTCAAAGAATAAAACGCAAAAATAAGGAGCAAAAGAAGCTAAATCTGATGGGATCAGCAGGCTGTTTTGTTTGGGTTTGCTTTTGAAGCCTCCCTAAATATGCAGGCAGGGCCGCCAACTAATTAATTCCCAATGAGGAGCAGAGAGAGCGTAAATAGGAGCAAAACTAAGGAAAAACACAAAGGGGAGCACAGAACAGTCTCTTTCTCATCAGTATTCCTCACATGTCTGCTTGTTGTGTCACTGGTAATTTATAAAATTTTCTTATGCTGTTAACAGCAAATAAAACCTGACAGATTAATTAATATTGTCAAGTGCGCGGTATGTGGATAAATGAGGTGATGTAATATAATGACATTGTACATACAGTAAAACTCTTATGGTGAAGGAGCCTTTTATGATAATAAATTGAGATACTGACAATCAACTAGATTGAAGAGCTCATTTATCCCCATAGAGCTTCCGTTACTATTGCTCCAGTTTTTACATCCTCAGCATGCTTCTTGTGTTTCTAAATACGTAATAAATGGTAATAGAGATATACTGTGTGTCCTCCTGCAGACCGGACCTGTAAGGTGTGGAATCTGGTGACGGGTCAGGAGATAATGTCCCTGGCCGGTCACCCCAACAATGTGGTGTCAGTCCGCTACAGCTCCAGTTTGGTCTTCACCGTCTCCACCTCCTATATCAAAGTCTGGGACATCCGGGACTCAGCCAAGTGCATCCGAATACTAACGTGAGTGTGGCCGTCTCAGTGGATTTCAGGCTGCAGTTGTAAATGCCTTTTGTCCACAACCTTGCGGGAAATGTTGCAGAAGGAGCGCTATCTATTAAAGCTGAAATTGAAATCCAGCGTGTAATACTGACGAGGATCTCTTTGCAGAAATGGAAGATAATATCAATAACTTTTCATTAGTGTGTAATCACCTGGAAATAGGTTTTTTCCTAGACCCCTAATTACTTGATGCAGATTCATAAATGTTCCATACATATGTCTTTAGGTCCTCTGGTCAGGTTAATGTTGGGGATGTCTGTGCGTCTAACACCAGTCGGACTGTCACCATCCCAGCCGGGGAGAACCAGATCAATCAGATCGCTCTCAACCCCAACGGGACGGTTCTATACGCCGCTGCTGGAAACTCAGTCAGAGTCTGGGATCTGCGAAGGTAAGCAGAGGAGTTAAATTTATATAACTAGAAATAGTTCAGACGGTGACACTGCATATTGATCACTTTTATCATTGCTAATGTTTTGTTACATTAAAGAACATAATTGTTACTTGAAAATTACTAACGTTACAATAACATTACAGTGAACAGTCGCCTAATTTCCTACTATATATTGTTGATTTTGTTTTTTGAAGTCAAAATATTTATACAATCAGACTTTATATCTTTGTATTGTGTATTCAGATCCAGTCGTTCCTGAAACAATGCTGGCAATCATTCTCTGCATTTTTACTTTGTTCATTCTGATACCACTGCAATGTTTTCAGATGCATAACACACACTGAGTTAATTCAAAGCCCAATTTCTTTTCGCTGCATACTTGAATGATCCTATTCAATGTGACACCTGACAGGTATCCAATCCGAAGCTGTCATCCATCATTGACAGCCAGCTAGTATACGTTTAGATGAATTGCCTCTTTGTTCCTCTTAGAAAATAAAAGCTCAGTTCATGAGCAGTTTGGCTGATTGAAATAACTTTGAATCAGTATGCAGTGAGATTTAAAGCCTTGAACTCCGAGTCTGGGAGTGAAATTATTGACTTGTGAGTGTGCATTTATATTTTCTCTCTTTGTCAGATTTGCATCCACAGGGAAACTTACTGGTCACCTCGGTCCAGTGATGTGTCTGACTGTGGATCGCTCTGGAAACAACCAAGACCTGGTGATCACCGGGTCCAAGGACCACTACATCAAGGTGCGTTTCCTTGGCCTCTTTGTATTTTCTATTTACCCCAGCACATGCTCTGGGATTAGCATAATGTTCCTGTGAGTCCAGCTCAAGAAATCAAAAGATAAGACATATTATTATAATGTATTAAATGATTCAAGCATTCATTAAATGTATTAATTACAAAATAAAGACAGTGGAAGTTACTCAAGCATGTGAGATTAAGCATGCAAAATGAAGAGTGGCTATAGCTTTAGATTTCACAATAAAAGCCATAACAAAGCAGTGTAACACATCATAACATGCAGCGTTCTGGTTGTTGCAGCTGTTTGATGTGACCGAAGGCTCTCTGGGTAGCATCAGCCCAACACACAACTTTGAACCTCCACATTACGACGGTATCGAGTCACTGGTGGTCCAGGGAGACATTTTGTTCAGCGGCTCTCGAGACAACGGCATCAAGAAGTGGGACCTGGACCGCAAAGACTTGCTGCAGGTACTGGATGAGTGAGATGGGAGAGAGAGAAAGAGAGAGGGATAGATTAAAATTAAGAAACTGTCACTCATTCATGAAAAGCTTCTAATAAATATTTAGAGATGACAGTAAATTAAAACCATCGATCCTTCTCTCCAACAGCAAGTCCCGAACGCCCACCGTGACTGGGTTTGTGCACTGGGTGTTGTCCCCGGGTCCCCGGCCCTGCTGAGCGGCTGCAGAGGTGGGGTGCTCAAGCTGTGGCACACGGACACACTGGGGACTCTGGGGGAGCTGAAGGGTCATGAGAGCCCCATCAACAGCATCTCTACCAACAGCAGCCACCTGTTCACCGCCTCCGAGTGAGTCTCATCCCAACCAAACACACACTTTCTATGTCTCTATGTTCCAAAGTCCCTGCTTTGGCTTTAGTTAGTTTTAGGATAAATGTTACAAGTCTTGTTCTTGTTCTATACAGTAAATTTGTTCATTGACTTGCCCCTAACTAATCAGATCATTGGCTGCAAAGATATGTCCTTGGTAGACTGATCCACAGATCCACATCTGACACACACCAGTATCAACTGAGACTTATAAGCCTTTCTCTTCCCTACAGTCCGTTTATAGTCCCTTGCTATTTTATTATGGAAGATTCTACTCAGATTTACACATTTTTATTTTGGATTCTTTGTTAAAAGCATCAAATCAATCACTGCAGCTTGGATGGCGTGTTCCTAAATTGCAATGTAAAGCAGCAACTGAAAGCATATAGTACATAATCAATAGTATTAGCTGTCAATGAAAAGAGAGGTTAAAAAAAAATGTACCTAGTGATCCTCAATCAGAGGATCCATCCGTGACTCTGGTAAGCTTTGTCAGTGCTGTCAGGTTTTCAGTTTCAGTAGATCGTGGAAACCTGAGAAGCTTTCTTTTCATTTCTCTTAGATATATTCTCTTCATAAAAGTAAAACCAAAACATAATCTAGCAAAATAAACTGTATAACATATGTAAGTAAATCATATAACCAGGGTTACAAAGTGCTTCACAGTTACAAAAATAACAATAGAGTTTTTGAATAAATTTGTAAATCAATGGCCAAAATCTTACTGTTTCATCTTCCTGTCTTCCAGTGATCGGACTGTGAAGATCTGGCGTGCACGTGGTGGACTAGACAGCACCTTAGAGGCGGGTGACAATGCGGATGAAGTGGCCAGTAACTAAATCCCCGACTGCTGGGTTTGACTCTGGAAGGACGCTAACAGCATCTTTTGATGCTGCTGCCCTGCACTTTGACCCCTAACTTCTCAAGCCCAATGCTGACTCCTAAAACACATACCTTCTATGCCATGTAACCTTTATGACTGAGCCAACAGGATTTAAGCTCATCTCAACAGAAACTAATTCACACTCATTCTTTTCTTAGACTCTGTATGCTCAGAGAGTCATGCTAATCCGTTGTAGTTTACCGCATTGTTAATGACTCTTTGCAGCATAAACCTTTTCTCTTTTGCGCTGTAGACGAGGCGTCACTGTTGACCATGATAGGAACTTGTACTAACAAGACTTTAATTCAAGAGTTGAACACAACAAAGACACTCATAGAAATGATCTCTGCTGCTCAGCTCTGTTCAGTGCTGAGTCAGGAGAAAGTACACCTGCAGGCACTCAATTACCCACAAAAAGGGTAGCAGTGTGTTTTGTTAGATTAGCCATAAATAGACAGAACGTTGAGTGTCAGAGGAGAAAAAGGCAGCAGAGCTAACGGGTTGGTAGCTGGTCTTCGCAACCCAGATTGTTGAGATTGTTTCTCTGCACTCGAAGCAGAACCAATGTCCCCGTGCTCTCCCCCCCAAAAAAAAAAAACAAAAGTGGCTTTACTGTTTGTGAAAAAGACAAATCACCGCTCCCCTTAACTTCCCCCTCTTTCTTTTGTGCTCCTCCCTCCTCAATTTCTGCAGCTGTTTAAGATCAGCGACCAAAATTGTGCAAACTTGTCGTCTTTGCTGTCCTGCACTGCACTCGTGAAAATAACAGTAACAGTTCCACTAAAAGCAAAAGTTCAACATTTAGGAAAATATGCTTATTTGCTTTCTTGCTGTGATTTTGATGCTATATTTGTTGAATATGAGACTACAGCTAGCATCTAGTTAGCTTAGCTTAGCAGAGCCTCCATAGCCTTGCTAGTTAACAAGTTATATGTTTAAAACTTAATTTTAAAAAAAGGGTTAAATTGGTTAAAACTTGTTGTTTTACAGGGGTTTATGTGAGGGACTATTTTTTTGGGGGGGGTCTTTCAGTCCCAGCTTTATTCTTACACGTTTTTGTATGAATTAGACCAAAAAGTAGCACAGAGTTGATTAGCTGCTGCTTGGCAGATTTTGTTACCTTTTTTTACCTTTTGCTAAGCTAAGCTAAATGGCTGCTTGCTGTAGCTGGTATCGATCTTCTCATGTAACTTTTTGGCAGAAAGCAAATTAGCGTATTTTCAGAAATGTTAAACTATTCCTTTAACTCTTGAGCACTTGTGAAAACCGACACAGAGTCTTTGTTACACTTAATCCTTAAATGTGAGCAGGTTCAGCGTTTGTATTCTACACTTGTTGTCCATGTTTCATCTCATGTAAAAACCTATGTTCACTCTTCACGTCGCAGTTAGCACTCACTAAACCTACACTACTGAGTTGTCGTTGAACTCCCATGCTGCTAAGTCGTGTGATCACCTTCAACCCCTATAAGAGGGCTTCTTGTTATGGACTCTGGGTGAGGTCCGCTCAGTACAGACAATGTGTATGTATATATGTGTACTAGTATCTTTTTGTTTTTGAAGAGGAGAGGCCTTCAGACTCTGCCCGTGTTGTGAGCCTAATCACGTCGACTGACGTCTGTGTCCCTGTTCTGATGCTTGCGGGGCCTTCCTGGAGACTCTCGTGGTCTCCCCTCATGGTCTCCCTGATGTAACTGATCTGTCTGTTTGTGTGCTGTCACTTTTGAATGTTGGGTGAAACAGCAGTTGTAGGCATTATTCGATCACATATCTAATGTATGTAAACAATGTATTTTTAAAAAATCTGACTGAATGTTAGTTTTGTGGGACCACCGATCTGAACGCAGTCTCACACGAGCCGAGAGGACCAGGATTGGCAGAAGTTTCACGAGCAGTATTAAAGCTTTTGACGGAGCTTTTCCTCCAAGGAGGTTGCAGGTTATGTGTAGTGGCCTATGGTTAGTTTTTTTTCTTTGTTTTGTTTGTTATGCTGTCCCTGTTCCACATATCCTGGGCGTTCCCCCTCTGGAGTTTTAGTAGCCATTCTCAAATGGCAGACTCTGTAGCGATTCTAATGTCAGATGCCTGGTGAGAATAAATGCCATCTGTCAAAAACAACTGTGTTTTTTTCATTCTATTAGTCATTTAAAGACTGCTGTTACTATATCCACAGGGTGTTACTTTATACTAATATCTACAGTTGAATGCGTCATTTATGTTATTTATAACTTAACTTTAAATCCCCCTATTTAGCATTTACAAACAGTTTACACACATTTAATAAATGGTTTATAACACAGTGTAATACAATGACCTAAAGATGTGCAAGTGATTAGCATTTATGTGCGCACACAACCTCTAACAACTCTGTTGTGACTACCAGTTCATTGGTTTAATCTCCTGCTCTGTTTCCTTTTCATATCTGTGTGCTGTAAGTAAAGCCACTTTCTGTAAAGTGAGGAAAGAAGTATTGCTGTCAGATGTTTGAGGTGGTACAAATGACCACAAGGTGGCAGTAGCTGCACCTACAGCACTGACCAGGGACAGTGTAATCAGAGCTGTCAACCAAAAATACTTTCACTGACATTTTAGGCCTTTGGCTAATAAGGGAAACCATATAATAGCCTATCTAGATTCATCCACTGACAATCCCCTGATTAACGCAGTGGGAGGCCCCGGGGCAAAAATGAGCTGTCGCCCTTTACACCATTTAACCCGAACACCCCTTGTTGTAAAATTACAACGTTACCTTAGCCATTCTAAAAAACAATCGTTATATTTTATCTTATGTTTTACCACATTTACATAGTCATTGGGTCCTATTGTTCAGTCTCACAATGCTATTGGATGGTACATTTGTTTATAAGTCCCGCCTTATGGCCATGAACTCACTCAACTTCTCAAGGTTTCTTTCGAACAACATCTCTTTGTTTCATTGGACTAAATTCATCAGATTCTAGTAAGTAAAATGTCTTTTACATTTTTTTGGTTGTTATTACAATGTCCAGAGCATGTACATATGTAGTTATTGTGGAATAGATTCATCAAATTTCATTTAGAGCTTGTTATATATTTGTTGCAATTCTACAACACTGGGTGAGTGTGGTAGTCAAAATAGCAGGCTTGTTGCAGTGGGCCCAAACAGGTTGCATTCCCTCCACTACACCACTGCCTCTAACAAAGTATTTTCTTTATACATGGACAGTATACATTCTACCCTTGTGTTGTGTTCTGGTCAAATTTGACTGATTTAAAAGTTTTATCTTCAAAAAATGTAGTTAATTTGACCAGACTGACCTAAAATTCCATGACTTTGTCCACAAAGAGGATATCAACAGACAATTCAGTTCTGGGAAAGGTGAAAATGTTCCTGAATGTGGGGTGTGGATATAAGTGGGGGTATGCATGTTTTCCTTTTAGTATGATAATTAGAGAGCACAAAACGCAGTATTGTTATGTCAAGGCAGTATTGTTTGACTAAATGGCTGGTGATTGGGATGCATATTTCTTTTAGCATGATAAGTAGAGAGCATAACAAGCTGTCAAGGCAGTATGAAAGTATCCTATCAAGGGGAAATTCAGCAGCATCAAGCAATATATGCAAGGCAAGCCAAACCCATGGGGATTCAAAGTGTGGGTGAGAACTGGAATCTCTGGCATGATGTGTGACGTCTACCAAGGCAATGTCAACGGAATACGAGCCAAATCTGAACTTGGATTGTCAGGTGATGTTGTGATGAAGCTTGCTTCCACACATCCAGAAGGTCAGAACTACAAAATGTATGCAGACAACTACTTCACCTGTGTTCCATTATTAGTGAAACTCCTTGATTGGGGAATTCATTAAGTGGGAACAGCCAGGCAGGTGCGCCTACCCAACTGTAACCTTGAAGACGAGAAGAGCTTGAAGAAAAAGGGAGATGAAGCTATGACGTCAGAGTGGAGGGAATCACAACATCTGTGCTGTCAAATGGTATGACAACAGGGCCGTCACACATCCTTTGCTTGAACTGAACCTGTGCAGAAGATTCACCACCTAAAGCCACCAGAACCTACATTGAAGTTGAGAGGCCTTACATTGTTGGTGCCTACAACAAGTACATGGGAGGTATGGATTTGTTGGACTCATTTACAGCCAAATATAAGTTCCCCATCAAATCCGTCGCTGGTACATGTACATCTTCTGGCACACCATCATCCTCGTTGTGGTCAATGCCTGGCTCCTCTACAAGCGGGACTGCAAAGCTCTCAAGATGTCTAGCAAAGAGACAATGAACAGGAGACAGTTTCAGGCACAGCTAGCATCCTCTCTCATCCTGGTAAACACAACACTAACTCAAAGAGAGGATGACCATCTTCAGGCAAAGGGAGCCCAGCATCACAGACAGTGACATCAGAAAGCCCTCTGAATGCTCAGAAGAGACCATCCAAGAGATGTGCACACCTTACATTGGATGTACGCAAGGACCTAGTTGCACATTTCCCAGTGAAGACAGGGAGGGACGCTGCAGACACTACAATAAAGGAAACACCAACACCAATGCAGCAAGTGTGATGTTCGCCTTTGCTTTTCAGAGGACAAGAACTGTTTTGGGACTTTCACTAACAATGAAAGTCAGTCATGAAAAAAAAAAGGAATGAAGAAGTTGCTAGAAAAAGCTAGAGTTTTGTCCTGTTTAACAGTTTTTTAATAAATGACTAATGTGTGATTATTATTAATGTTATATACCTTTATGGGGCTAAGTAAGCAATCAACCCTGCAAATTAACCCGTAGTTGTTCTGAATTGTTGTTCAGACAACATGAGTACAAATACAGAAATTCGGCTCCCACCGAAGCCCAATGTTGCAATATTACAACATTTCTCTATAAACTTACATAAACATTATTTTTTTAAAAACTCTTTAATTTCTGCATCAAAGGCCTACTACAACAACATCTGAAAGGTAAAATAATTTTTTTTAAAGGTTTTTCTATATTTGGGTCTTACAGGGTTAAATGTTGTCTCTGGCACACTCTACTAGACATTTTCATTATAGTTGTTAGTATTAGTGCTGTATCTTCCCAACAAGTTTTCAATGTATTACCATTATAGACCAGCTGACACAATGGATATGGAGCTGAACCCTGAGGGTCTGGAGCCTGGAGGCTTTGCCCGGTTGGTAATCCAGCCTCACTGACAATATTTCAGGCAAAGATCAAAAAACGTGTAACTTCAGTTACTGTACAAATTACAGCTTGATTACTGTAATTACAGCTTACAACTAAAATAGTAACTAAAACAATTTTACTAGCAATATTTCCACCATATTATTTTGGACTGTTGCTGAGTTCAGTTTTCAGTGGTATTTTTGCTGTGTGATACATTCCTGTCCATTTAATAATTTCATATGTCTGTATATTTTGCAGCACAATGTCAAAGGAACCTGGAAACATTTACTAGCAATGTTTGTAGTTGTATTCCATCTCTAAAAGAATCCATTTTACTTGTTCAATGACATATTATTTATATTCTTAACCATTATTATGACTCCTTTTCTGTTTCTTCGACCATGTGAGTAAAAGATATTGCCTTTCCATTCATCTGTCTGTTGTTTTTCAACTTCAGGTGTGGAATGTGTTTTCTGTAGGCATAAATATCATAGTTTTTATCTTTTAGCCATGCAAGGACCTCGTTTCTTTTCTTGATAACAGCCAAACCACTGCAGTTATGACTGGCTCTGCGAATCTCCCTCATCATATACAGAAATAGGATATCAAGTTATTTCTGATTTTTTAAATACTTCCGATCAAAACATTAACTTCAGGGGCACACGGGCCACACTGCATCCACCAGGGGCTCGTACCGTGGACCCAATAAGACCAACCCAACCCAGTCCAGACTTCACTAACGCGGATATATTGTATCATCTCCGTCTGAATTAATAATTATGTTGATACATTTTCTTCAGGCTAGTTTTGATTAGCTATCTCCCATCTCTGTACATCTCTGACACATATTTGTCTTTACTTTGCAAATAGTTGCCTTCTAGATTTGCATTCATGCAATGGCTAATGACACTACAAGACATAATGAACAGAGCATACTATAATGATATAATATTGCATTACTTTTATTCCAATTTAAGTGAAAGAAAGAAGAAAGAGTAAAAAGAAAATGTAATAAACTATATCGGGGCCCATCACTTGAAACCTTATCTATCCATATATCTACCCCAGTTCCTACACATTTAGTCCAAGTTATGCTTTTCTTTTTAAATAACAAACCCATTGTTAGTGTTTTAGTTTGCACACTGCAAATTCCATAAGTGTATGTATACCTATATATATCTATGGAAAATACAAACACTGTTACCAGCTCATATGTTGGGATGCTTTGACTCGACATTGAGAATTTCCTACATCCAATGGGTGGATGCAAATCTCGACAGTTAATAAATTTGCACATCTGCCAAATAATGCATCCTCACTGCAATTTTATTTCTACAGATCACTTTAGCTCTGCATGCTCCCGCGAGGTTCATGCAATTATTGGCGGGCAGGCAGAACAATCCAGTCAGCTAAGCTTCTCTTCAAAGAGTAATATTAGAGAGACTGTATCAGAAAGTTCCAGCTTCTGTAACAGCTCTTGGCTTGAGAGTCTTTTCCTTTTTAGCAGCCAAACTTGCCTTGGCATTGAGGCGCTTCCCACAGCCGTGTCCAGAGCAGTATTCAGTGCTGGTCAGTGATTCCATGTTAGAAGCCGGTAAAAAGAGCACATACGTTATTGAAGAACGCAAAACACATTTTCCATCAGGGGACCTAAAAACTTGCATTCAATACATTTAATATGTCTGGACGCAAAATGACTGGTGTTTGAAAATGAGTATTGATCACTTTGGTATTGATCTGACCCTCCCTAGTGTGCTGTGTGTTGCCTGCATTTCATTACATCCAACTACACCCAGTCGAGTATATTTCATCTGCACAGTAATTAACTTCTTCAGTGATGTTTGCCTTTCAGCCAAGTTCTGTGAAATTCTACATAATCCGTATCGGAAGTAATTTACTAAGAGCCAGGCCACATGGCTGAAATCAATAACACAATGTTTTAGAATATGTTTCCGGCGCTGACATGGT